ACACACACACACACACACACACACACACACACACACACACACTCGTGGCGGGACTCACATATACATTCAAAGACTTACACACACATACATGTACTCACAAAGAGTCACACATACCACAGTCTCACATACATTCATACACATTTATAGATTCTCATTTTTACACATGACAAACACAGACACGCACATGTACACATGCATGCACACACGCACGTGCTTTCTATAGAGAATTCTTCTCATTCTTTCCAACAGTTGGCTACAGTACCTTCTGTTTCCATAGAGGAGCTTGGGGATTCTGTCTCAGTTTTTCCCTCACTCTTCACTGAGTCATTCTCTTGTCCTGTCAGAACAGTTTTATAAAAGAAAAAAGAAAGAAAGAAATAAGATGTGCATGTTCATAGCTTTATCCCAGGTCTGAAGAACAAATTCGACAGATGCCTTCTTTGAATCACATTCAAAATGTGCTTTAAATGGAAGTGGAGGCCACCAATGCCAGTTTTCAAATAATTAAATTCACATCAATTATTTTATGTGGAAATATCCTGATAATTTGGACAAACAAAGAAACAAAACCCTATTCTTTTTCTTGACACAATTAATACTCAGCTTATCAATCAATTGGACATCTGCAGACAGTGATCTGAAAGGCTTGAAATTTTCAGATCATTTTCTGGATTACACAGGTAATGTTTAGATATCTGTTGACATACAGTAATTTTGTATATTTAAGATCACCCCTCCAAACTAAAACACTACCTGTACTTCCTTCCTTCTTCAATAGCACATAAGAAAATGAGTAAGGACTAGAACAGCATAGTATCTCAGTAATCTATTTAAGTGTTGGCTGAATATAGAAAAGATCAAAGAAAGGCTGAAGGCTTTTCTTCCACATCCCTTGACTTCTCTCCTGTAGGGTTTTGAACATGTAAGTACTCACTAAAATAGGAGAATGAAATCTGTCCATTTTTGCCTCATGCTAGTGAAAGATTTTACACTGAGAATGTTTAACTGTTGATTTTAAATAATAAACAAACAAATAAACCTAGACTTTAAATTGGTTGTAAGCACAAAAAGGATAGACACGGGAGAGCTAGAGATGTTTTCGGTGGAACATCCCTGTGGTGTTGACATTGTTCTTTCTTCTTGTCCCTACTTCTCCTTGTAAAAGGCTTATATTCCTCTGTCTTTTTCAGAGACAGAGTAAGGGCATTCCATTCACATTAGACCTTTTTAAAAATGTGACTTGGTTTAGAAATTGTCAGAGGACAGGCATCATGTGAATTTTTGCAAAAGCTTATGACCCACTGTGAGTGTCTTGCAGCTCCCTGCCCTGAGCAGAATGTTTTCTTCTTGATCTGGAGCAGAGTCAAGTGGAGCCAGGCCTGAACACAAGAAATCTTCTTGAAAGTCACTGAATTTTAGGGCTTATTTGTTATGTGGTAATGCTGACTTAGATAACTCTTTATCCTGCATCTTCTGCTTTGATAAGTCTATTCTTAGATCATTCACCACAGCCTTCCTTTTAGTTTCTTCTCTGCCAGTATAAGACTAAACAAGCCAAACACAAGTTTTGTTTTAATGATATCAACTCTCCATGAGTTCGTTTTTGATCCAAAGATCTGATAAAATAATGAACATGAATATTTATTTACCTATGTGGTAGCTGAACTGAGAACCCTCAAGATGTCTTAGGTAACTTTGTCCCATCATCTCCAAAGTTCAGTGATACCCTGAATATGGATGGCGTCTTAAAATATTTCTTTTCTCATTTTCATTCTCCTCTCACTTTTTCTGGCTCAGGGTACATAAGGTTGGAACTTTGTTTCTTTTCTTTTTCCTTTTTCCCTTATATTATCTAAGTTTTAAATTGCTAGCGAAGAGGACCTTTAAAATGTGGATTTGATCCAAATCTTTCCTCTTGCTTTTCCTTATTCATCTCCAAATTATGGTCCATTGACAAGCAACAATGGAATTATCTAGAAGGTTTTTAAAAGCTTTCAGGCTTCACTCTACTCATACAGAATTATGACCTACATATTTTTTTTCAAGATCTCCATTTGAACCTACATATGCTAATGCTTATGAAGTCCTGGCCTACAGAACTTGAGGGCACCGTGGGATGGCAGACTTTACCAAGGCACTTCACATCATTATCTGTGCTCACTAAGCCTGCCTCTGAAGAAAGCACTGTGACAGCCATTCTGGCTTCTAAACACATCACCAGCTCTGTCTGACTATAATGATATTTTCTCTTTATGCTTTTCTTGAAAATATCCTGATTTTACAGTTTGAAATTTAAATGTATAGAGCAACACACACAAATCCTAATTATAGATCTTGATGATGCTTCACATCTATTCTCAAAACTATCTTCATGTGCAATCCCTCTCAGATAAAAAATTCTTCTAGCAATAGTGGCTTTGTCTAGTTGGTGCCTCTTTGAACTACTGTGAGCAAAAGTACATGTTCTATTTCAAAATTTTTTACCTTTCAAGTACTTTGGGTGCGAGTTTAGTCCCATTTTTCATATGTATCAATTGACCCTTCCTATTACTGATGTATCTGAAGCTGCTGTCTGAAGACATGATGCCACATGAAATTGAGTAATTTCCAGTTTGGAACTATTCTGAATAACAGTGCCAAAACATTTCAGTGTATACCTATGTGGAAAAATGTATTCATGTCATTCAACCATCATCCAGAAGTGAAATTGCTAAATAACTAAGAATTGCTTTCTTAGGTGTATTAGATCGTATGAAACAGTGTGGTAAAAAGTCTGTTTTAATTTTCCCTTCCTGGTGATGACCAGACTGCTATTTTCCCACCACCTCTTTGTCCACTTCCATCAGACTTGCTGACACAGAACCATACAGGTTATATTACCTTCCTGAACCCATTTCCTTTGCTGGCCAACAAAGCCTCTGGGTACTGCCCAGCTGCCCTGAGTAGGCTCCTATCCTTAACAGACCTCCCTTCTCTCTGCTCACCTTCATCACACATGCTGATTTGGAACCATACATATTAGATTCCCTCCCTAATCCCATCTTCCCTGCCCAGTGAGTCCTCTGGGCATGCCAAGCTGCTCTGAGCAGACTGATAGCCAAGGGAGACATCCAATTTCCTACCACCTTTCTGCCTACCTTCCTTAGATCTTTGGCTCCTGAACCATATAGACCTGCAGATCCTGATCCATAAAGACTTTCAGAACAGGAACCATCCAACCCAAGGATACCCATGAGAGGCCTGTTATACCAGAACCATCCAGGTTAACCCTGTTCTCAATACCTACTATAATATAAATATCCAGGGACCAAAGCCATCTAGATGGCTAAAGTCCTCAAAGGGACACAGTAAACAAAAGCCAAGGCAATAAGACACCTTCAGATCATAGCTACCCTTCTACAGCAAGCCAAGATATCCTAACACAACTGAAGCATAAGAAAATGACCTTAAATCCAATCTTATAAAAATGATAGAGGCCTTTAAAGAGGAAATGAGTAAATCCTTTAAAGGAATACATGACAATACCATCAATCAGGTAGAGGAAATAAAGAAAAGTGTATAAGACTTGAAAGTGTAAATAGAACCAGTAAAGAAAACACAAACTGAGGGAATCCTGAAGATGGAAATCCTAAGAAAGAGCACAGGAACAACAGATGTAAGCATCACCAACAAAATACAGGATATAGAAGACAGAATCTCAGGTGTACAATATACAATAGAAGAAACTGATGCATCAGTCAAAGAAAATGTTAAATCCAAAAAAATGACACAAAACATCCAGAAAATCTGGGATACCATGAGAAGAGCTAACCTAGGAATAATAAGAATAGAAGAAGGCGAAGAGTCCTGGCTCTAAGGCTCAAAAATATTTTCAACAAAATCATAGAAGAAAACTTTCCCAAACTGAAGAAGGAGATGCCTATAGACAAATAAGAAGCATATAGAACACCAATTGGACTAGAACAGAAAGAAAAAAAATCCTCCTGTCACATAATAATCAAAGCACAAAATCTATAGAACAAAGAAAGAAGATTGATAGTGGTAAGTGGAAAATGGCAGGTAACACACAAAAGCAAACCTATCAGAACTATACCTGACAAAATAGAGTTTAATAGCTAGAAGTGCCTAGACAGTTATCTTGCAACCTCTAAAAGAACCACAGATGACAATCTAGACTACTATACCCAACAATATTTTCAATTACAATAGATGAAGAAGAAAACAAGATATTTCAAGACAAATTTAAACTTAAACAATATGTGTATACAAATCCAGCCCTACAGAAAATACCAGAAGGAAAATACAACCCAAGGAGGATGACTACATCTAAGAAAACACAGGAAATAAGTAATTCCATACCAGAAAAAAACAAGAGAAGCACACACACACTAACACCACAAACATCAAAATAACAGGAAGTAGCAATCACTGATCATTAATATCTCTCAACATCAATGGACTCAATTCCCCAATAAAAAGACACAGGTAACAGAATAGATGCCAAAACAGGACCCAATATTCTGCTGCATATAAGAAATACATCTTAGCAACAAAGATAGATATAACCTTAGAATAAAGAGGTGGAGGGGGAAAAAAAAAGGTTTCCAAGCAAGCAGATCCAAGAAGCAAGCTGGAGTATTCTAATATCTAATAAAACAGACTTTCAAACAAAATTAATCAAAAGAAATAGGGAAGGATTCTGTATACTCATCAAGGGAAAAATCTACCAAGATGATATCTCAATTCTGAGCACCTATACCCCAAACACAAGGGCACCCGCATTTGTAAAAGAAGCATTGCTAAAACTTAAATCACACATTGAACCCCACACATTAGTAGTAGGAGTCTTCAACATCCCACTCTCAACAATCAACAGGTCAAAAACTAATCCAGACAAAAACTAAACAGAGACATAAAGAAAGTAACAGAGATTAAAAATCAAATAGACCTAACAGACCTTTATAGAAACTCAAGAAATTAGACAGCAACAATCTAAATACCCCCCCCCCCCCCAAATGGGGTACAGAACTAAAGAGTATTCTCAATGGAGGAATCTCAAATGGCTGAGAAACACTTAAAGAAATGCTAAAACATTCTTAGCCATCAGGGAAATGCAAATCAAAATGACCCTGAGATTCCATCATCTGTCAGAATGACAAAGATCAAAATCTCAAGTGATAGCACATGCTGGTGAGGATGCATCTCCATTGCTGGTAGGAGTGCAAACTTGTACAACCACTTTCAAAATCATTTTGGTGGTTTCTCATAAAACTGGGAATAGTTCTACCTCAAGACCCAACTATACTACTCCTGGGCATATACCCAAAGGATGCCCCA